TCATGTTTCAAAACATCCCCACACTTCTGGGGTCCCATCTTCTGCAGCCTCCTCTGTTGTTACCCCTCCCATAGTCACTCCTGTATCTAATTCTTTTGCTGTCCTGGGCTCAGACATCCCTACTTCAACACCTTAGTCTGTTCTGATATCTTCGAGTTCTCACTCACAAGCCCGGGTATCGACAAGATTTCGTACGATACCTACCAAACGCACCTCTACTTCTCAGAAGTCCAAAAAATCCCCTTTGCTCAAATCTTCCTTCCTCTCCTTCCCTTCTTCTGTCCCCACATTTTACCTTTCCAGTCTCTGTACCTGGTTCTTCCCCTCTCACTGGCTCTATTACAGGTGTGGAGGTTCACCCCCCTCCTCGTTCTGTGCCTCCCTCCCCTGTCCCCTCCCAAGTCTCCCCCTCTTCTGCCACCTCCCAGGTTTCTGCCTCTTCTCTCCCCTCCCACACTTCTTCTCCAGTTCCCAACACGCTTTCGTCCCCCCTACTTTAGTACAGTCCAATACTGTCCCAATTTTTACTCACCCTCCTCCTTCTGTCTCCAATATTGTCTCCCATACAACGTCTTTGAATTCAAAAACACTTGACGCTATTTCAGAATATATTGCAGAGACTAAACCTTCAATGGACACTGATCCACCTCCTGTTCTTTCTCTTCCCTCTCCTCCATCTCCACCTGGTTACCTAGAGGTTATTCCAGGGATCAACGCCCCAGCGGCCCAGTCCATGACCAGGCCTCCCGGTGGATCAGGGCCTGATCAACCAGGCTATTACTGTTGGCAGTACACAGTCCAATATACGAGCCACAGCCCGGCTGATCCGGCACAACTCCATTCTTCACAATGCTCCATTCCTTCGCTGCTTGAACATCTTCCGATGCCACCGCACAGAGACTTTTCTAACCCCTCTAGTCTGTAGGTGCCCTTCTCTACGGATTCCTGGTATTTTCCTCGTTGCCAATCATGGCCTATTTACAGTGGAATATCCTCGGCCTCAGGGGTAATCGGGGTGAGCTTCAGATGTTGCTTTCCAGGTTTTCCCCTGTTGGTGTTTGCTTATAAGAACCAAAATTACACTCAGCTGTTTTCCAACCTATCTCAGGCTATAGTTTATTGTATTCTTTGGATCCTTTCTCAGGTGGGACCTTTAATGAAAGTGCCCTTCTCTGCAATGATATTCTGTACTGTCAACTATTTGTCCATACCTCGATGCATTACACTTCAACCCGTATTCACTTGAATAAGTGGCTTACAATACGTTCTTTATATCTCTCTCCTTCTTGGGCATTTTCTATCCCAGATTTTGCCTTTCTTCTTTCATCCTTACCACCACCACTTCTGTTACTTGGCGATTTTAATGCGCACCATTTCCTCTGGGGGGGTCTCATTGTGACTCACGTGGCATCCAGTTGGAGGCTTTTCTTGCCTCTCACCCCCTCCATGTTTCAAATACGGGTACTCCCACTCATTTTGATCCTCGTACTCATACTCTTGCATCGATCTATCGGTCTGCTCTTCCTCCACTGCACTACACTTCGCCTGGTCTGTTCTACCGGACTTACATGACAGCAATCATTTTCCAATCATTCTTACTTCTCCTTCATATTCACCACCTTTCCGTAGCCCTCTCTGGCAATTTGATTGGGCAAATTGGGACCTTTCCTCGCAACTCACTGCTTTTAGTGACGTTCCTTCTTCATCTTCCATTGATGAGCTCCTACACCTCTCCTTGACGTCAGTTTTAACCGCAGGTTCTCATTCTATACCCCAAACCTCAGGCAGGCATTCTCAGAAGTGCATGCCTTGGTGGTCTCCTGCTTGTGTTCATGCAGTACGTTTGAAACACGCTGCATTGGGCAGGTACCAGTACAATAGAACTGATGAAAGACTTTGTTGATTTTAAGCAGAAGCCTGTGGTCCCTCGCCGTGTCATCCGTGACTCTAAACGCACTTGCTGGCAAGATTATGTCTCCACCATCACCTCTGCGTCCTCTGTGAGTGCAATCTGGAAAAAAGTGAGGAAATTGAATGGTAAATACTCTCCTGACCCAGCTCCTGTTCTACGGGTCGCTGGTGTTGATATAGCAAACCCTCTTGACATTGCCATTGAAATTGGCACTCATCTGGTCCGTATTTCCTGGGGGCTCCATCTATGCCCCTCGTTTCTTTCCTCAAAGTCTGTCAGAGAGTTAGTACCCTCGGACTTTTCTTCTCTCAGAGAAGAACAGTATAATGTGCCTTTTACACTTCAGGAACTGGAGGCAACACTCGGCTCGCTGATCATCAGCAGCTGGGCCTGATGACATTCATATTCGGATGTTACAACATTTGCATCAATCAGCCCTTACGGTCCTCTTACACCTCTTCAATCTTATTTGGTCACAAGGAATTCTTCCCCAGCTGTGGAAATCTGGTATTGTTCTCCCTTTCCGCAAGCCGGGTACTACGGGACATGATGCCTCCCACTATTGTCCCATTGCTCTTACTACTGCAGTTTGCAAAGTGATGGAACGTCTGGTAAATCGATGTTTAATGTGGTATTTAGAGACACACAACAGTCTCTCCACTAGTCAATATGGCTTTCATAAGGGCCATTCTACCATAAACCCCTCACTATGCTTGGATGCGTATGTTTGTAATGCCTTTGCGAATAACCACTCAGTTATTGCCATATTTTTTGACCTTGAGAAGGCATATGACACAACTTGGAGGTATAATATTTTGGCCCAAGCCCACTCCTTAGGCCTCCGAGGCAATCTACCATCCTTCCTTAAGAACTTTTTAACTGACAGACATTTCCGTGTTCGAGTTAATAATGTGCTCTCCCCGGACTTTGTCCAAGCTGAAGGTGTCCCTCAGGAATGTGTTCTGAGCACAACACTTTTTCTCCTTGCTATAAATGATTTGGCCTCTGTTCTTCCATCCAATATTTGGTCATCAGTCTATGTTGATGACTTTGCTATAGCTTGTGCAGGCGCTGACTGTCACCTCATTACAGTTTCTCTCCAGCATGTAGTCGACCATGTTTCCAATTGGGCCACCACACATGGGTTTAAATTTTCCAGTACCAAAACTCACCAAATTACTTTCACTAGAGGCTCTGTCATCTCCGAACATCCTTTGTACCTCTATGGCTCCTGTATCCCTGAACGTGATACAGTCAGGTTTCTAGGCCTTCTCTTTGACCGTAGGTTATCCTATAAACCTCACATTACCTCTCTGAAGGCAACTTGTCACAGCCAGCTGATCGTCGAACTCTCCTTCCCCTACATTCAGCCCTAATTTTATCGAAGCTCGATTATGGTCACCAGATCTATTCAACGGCCTCTCCTGCTACTCTCTCTAGCCTTAACCCCATCCATCACCAAGGATTACGTTTATGCCTTGGTGCTTTTCGCTCTTCCCCTGTTGAGAGCCTCTATGCAGAAGCGAATGTTCCATCCTTGTCTGATCGCCATGATGCCCATTGCCTTTGCTACTATGTACACTCTCACGATCTCCGCAATCCTTCCATTTATAGAGTGGTCACCGATATTAGTAGACATTATTTGTTCACTGCCCCTGTTTGCTCTGTCCTTTCTCTCTTCACCTACATTCGCTCTTGTCTTCCCTTCAATTACTGCCTTTCATGTAGCATCTCACTTTTCACTACTCCCCTGGGAAGTTCCAGCTGTTCAGGTCTATTCTTTCTCACTCCCTTACTTGAAAGGCCAACTGCCTACGGTGGCTTCCCACTCTCTTTTTCTTGACCACTTCCACTCTCATTCTCATGCCACCGCTGTGTACACAGATGGCTCTAAATCTTCTGACGGCGTCGGATTCGCAGCAGTTTCCAGACAGCATCATGCGAGGGCATTTACTGTCTTCGGCTAGCATTTTTACTGCTGAATTGTATGCTATTCTTGCAGCACTTATTCGTATCGCATCTATGCCTGTGTCATCATTTGTGGTTGTCTCAGACTCCCTTAGTGCTCTACAGGCTAAACGGAAATTTAATACACCTCACCCCCTAGTTCTCTGTATCCAACTTTGGCTACGCCATATCTCTACCAAGCATAAACTGTATAATCCTCCAGCTTTAGCGCTTCCCCTTGATTATAATAATAATAAATACCAAGCATAAAGATATTGTTTTTTGTTGGGTCCCTGGTCATGTTGATGTACAGGGCAATGAACAGGCAGACAATGCTGCGCAGTCAGCAGTACATGACCTACCAATTTCATATAGAGGTGTTCCATTTCCGGACTATTTTGCTGTAATAGCTACCCACCTTCACACCCGTTGGCAACAATGTTGGTCAACTCTACTCGGTAACAAACTTTATTCTATTAAACCGAGCATACGTTACTTCTTGTCATCAGTGCCGAGGTTGGGAGACCGAGACTACTCTCTCCCGCCTTTGCATTGGCCACACTCGTCTTACTCATGGGTATCTCATGGAGAGGCACCCTGTTCCTCTCTGTGAGCAGTGTCAAGTTCCAGTATTGATTAGCCACATTCTGTTAGACTGCCCTCTCTATCAACGAGCACGCAGAATTTATCTCCAACATCGTCTCCGCTCTACTACTCTCTCTCTTTATCTTCCCTTCTTGCTGATGGACCCTCCTTTAATCCTGATTCTCTCATTGACTTTTTGACAACTGATTTACTCCACAAACTCTGATGATACCTTTTGCACTCCTCTCAGCCCTTTCTACCTCAATCTCTTGCTGCCCTCTACCCTTTCACCATCCACTGCCCCGCTGTTCTCCATAACCTATTACTCATCCATCTCCCTTTTGCTACCTGATACCCTCACTTCCTTCCTGCCCTGCAGCGCTGTATAGCCCTTGTGGTTTAGTGCTTCTTTTTTATTATAATAATCTAACCATTAGATTTAGACCTTTTAAATACAAGGAACCCTCCACCAAACTGGGCCCTGGGCCCCGGGCCCCCACCACCTAAACCTGGCACTGCTTGTGTGTTGCAAATGTATACTTTAAGGTTAAATCAGTTTTTACTGATGAGATATACTGTTTTATTGGTAAAACTATATTCCCTCAATATATTTCCCCTCAATAAATTCACTCAATATACTTATTATATTGTAAAGTGCAATTAACAAGAGTTATTAGTTTTAATCATTTCCATTTGATATAATCCAAATTTTTGCAAATACATATACATTCACATAGAAATGCATATACCTATACATGTACAGTATAGTGAAAAAAATCATAATTTCCCATTCCCAAAAAACATATATATATATATATATATATATGTATATATATATATATATATATATATATATATATATTACACACATATATACACATGTATAATTATTTCTACCCTGGTATGGCAGTTGAATCATTTATCTATGGTATTACATCTCTCTAAATATAGTGTTGAGACCATGCTTGGTGTGACAGTCACAACACCAGGGATCTTTCATTAGGATGTCCTTCTCTTGCTTCCCCATCTAGCGGGAGTCCTGCAGAGTGATCCTGAGGGCGTAGATGGAGAAGGGAGTAAGGGAAAGAGGGATGGAGGTGACTCCATCAGCTTGTGTGAAGCTCAACTCCTCACCCACCTCCTCCAGTCCATTACATTTCTTCACTGAAGTCACTGGCCAGCTCACCTTCAACCTGGAATGTTTGAATAACATAATTATTAACATTTTGATGCGTATATGGTGGGGGACTAGCTGCGACAAGCACTGACAAAACAAGAGAAAGAGAGAAAATAAATGAAGACATGCTAGCTTTACTCACGTGATTTTAGTTTTGGCTGCATTACTCTCATAAAGTCTTAAGACCAGGTCCCCTGAACCATCCTCTGCTGGCTTGATAGTATGAACCACTGCCCCGGACCCTTCCACACTCGCAGCAGACCACTCGCTCCTGTAGGCATAAAAAATAGAAGGCTCTTCAATTTGTTAACCCAGGATAATTTCTGGAAGCCAATCACTGTGGCTTGTTTCCTTTGTGGTCTTCTTTCCCAGGACGAAGCCCACAACAATAAATTAGAACACAGGATCCTACTCAATGCTAGGTGAACAAGGCAAACAGGTGCAAGAAGGATTAAATTCATGGTTTGAGTGTAAACTGAAGGTGCTACCACTGAGCTATGAAGTGTTGCAACCATGTAATATGTGAAAATTTATTTAAAATGAAAAATAAGCAAATCAGTCAGAACTTGCAGCAATGAATTTATGTATATGGATGCAAGTGAAATATAAGATAAAGTTAATTAAAAAAAAGATAGTTCTGATAGGCGACCTCTGCAAGGGGGAGCGTCTTGACATTGTGAAAAGGCTATTGGTCTGAGGAATTGGACCTTTCGGTCTTCTTCCTCTGATCGAGCCTAAATACCCCCCCTTTGTCCCTGCCCTGCCTCATCTTTCTCACCCCCCCTTTCCCCATCCCTTTCTTGTTTTTGGCCTCTGCAGTCATCCCCTCAGGTATTCTAGTTCCTAGGTTGGGAAAGCGTATCCTTGTCCATCCCATTCTGTTGAGGTTTTTGGTAGTGGTGTATCTTGCTGTGAAATCTGGATCATCTGGGAAGGTCCCGATCCCTCTCTGGTTGCCCGGTTTGGGGGGAGGTTTGCAATGTCTTTTGGATGACGAGTGTATCTCTGGAGGCTGCCTGTCAGATTCTGGGAGGTGGAGGCTGAAGGAGGTATGCTTTGTGGCAGGTATCCTACCACCCTTTTTTTTTTTGTCCACAGAGGAGGCTCGGTGGATACAAGGGTGCTATCCTGGATTGCTGGTTTACTAGCATGAAGGGTAGGGTATTGCAAGGGTTCCATGCCGCATCTGCACTACTGGCTGTACTGACGTCTTCATGATCCTTTCATTCTTCCTAGAAGCTATTCCTCTACATTCCCCCCTTTTTTCTTTTCCTCCTGGATCCTTTTCTGCTGCAGCACCCTATTACAACCCTACCTCATTATCTGACCGTTTCGCAGGTAACATTTCATTGCCCACTCCTAGTACCGAAGTTCCACCTGACTCCTTTGATACGTCGAACCACTACACATCTTTGACCATGCTTCCAGCTTCTCCCACTACAGTGCGGCGATTTTCAGATCGTCCACCTATCTCAGGACAGACCACCTCCAGTCCCACACTTAAACGACCACGACCATCAACTGATGACACTGCTTCGATTGCCTCTTGCTCTTCCCAGAAAGTACACAATGGACTAAATTTTTCACTCTGCAACCATCTTCCCTATCTTTCTAATCATGGTATCAGCAAGGCTCTCCTGCACCATGTTGGTCAAAATATTTTATTTCACGATCCTCCATAGATGATATTCCTGCTACATTTCGAAAACACATTTCTCTCAGTTCTTGCAATGGTACTGTATTATTATTATAATCAAAAAGAAGCGCTAAGCCAAATGGTACTGTAGTTCTGCCTCATACCATTGGTCATCGTGATTTCCGGACATGTGACCCCTCTAGTGAGGTTCTTTGATGCTGGTGTGGGGCTCTTGATCTAGGGAATTGGATCTGTGCTCCAGTTCCCTGAATTGAGTCCACCCCCCCCTCCACCCGCTGTATAATGGTTCAGCGCTCCCCCATGATTATAATAATAATAATCCGGACATGTGATGATATTCTACAGCAACTTGAGCTCCAAGACCTCCCAGTTTTCAAAGTGGACACTTATGTACTATCTGCCTGCGGGAGGAGACACTTCCCATGCAGTTTAGCTCACTTAACTTTTGATTGCCGAGAACTTCCATCCTCGGTTTATATTGGTGGACACTGTTTACAAGTCAGAGTTAATCCCTCACAACCCAGTCCATGACCAAGCCTCATGGTGGATCAGGACTTGATCGCTCAGGCTGTTACTGCCAGTCACATGCAAACTGACGTACGTACCACAGACTAGCTGGTTAAGTCCAGCTCCCACTTGAAGACAGCCAGGGGTCTATTATTATTATCAAAAAGAAGCACTAAGCCACAAGGGCTATACAGCTAGGGGTCTATTGGTAAGTCACCTTATGTATGCTGGGTGGCATACAAAATAAGGGTCCCTGACCCTTATCTTGTTTTCTCTTAGTGTACTCATGGCACTCCAGCTTTTCATTGGGGGCATGTTGCACTACCTCTGTCCTAGGTAGTGATTTCCGTGTGCAGATTTGGGACTAGTCCCTCTAGGTTATTCCTGGTGTAAATTATAATGAACAGCTGTGAATTTATAATGGTTCAGTGTGGACCAAAAGTCATGACTTGATAATGATTCAGGATGGACCGTAACATCTGTAATTTCCTGCAAAAACTGTAGATTAATTGTGAATATGCTCTAACATGTTATGATGATAAATTTATTAACATGGTCAATGAATTGAGAGCATTTATGGATGATAGAGAATCAGTGACAATTAAAGTGTCAACCTTAGATACATGGACGCGTTTGAATGCAAGGAGAACGGCAAACAGTTCTGTCTGAAGGGTAGAGGCCCAGTTATTGATGTGTGCTTCAATTTCTTTATGAGAGCCATCACTATGGCAACAGCAGCATTACCAGCTGCACCTGTGGATTGCTGAGCACAACAATCAACATAAATAATTTGCGAAAGTGTGTGTATAGTGACTAAGTTATCAATATAGCTTAAATTTTTCAGGGTTTCGGCCGTACTAGTACAGCTTACGTGCCAGGGTCCTTGATGTACTAGTACGCATAAATTCTAGCGTCTTCAAATCTCACGGGAAAAGGCTGGTAGGCCTAGATGTGAGAGAATGGGTGTGTGGGGTCGGTGTGCTCGGTAGAAAAAAAAAATCTGGGACCCAGTGGCGTATTGTAGGAATGCCATTTTAGTAGATCTTGTTCACCATGCCTTGTGGTAAGAAGCTCCTCACTCCTCGGTGAACTGGGACACTTTTGTTCCCCAGTGACAGTTCTAATACAGACGGAAGTGGCAGTGAAGACAAGTTTCAAGGTTTTAGTGAAGTTTTGACTGAAACTAATGATCATAATATCGGTAATAGTGAGGAAAACCCAGACGACCCTCAGCCTTCCAACTCTGCTGCTGGGCGGTCTTGTTCATGTTCAGTTGTACCAGAATCAAAGAGGAAACTCCTATTTTCCCAAATCCTGGACTCAGATGTGAGCATTGGAGATGATAGTGAATATGAACTACAAGCTCTTGAAACCAGTTCCAATAGTGATAGTGAAGTGCAATATTCTCCAGTGAAGTCAGTATATACGACGATATATGCGCTCTGGTAGTGTGCCATATGCTATTCCAAGGGGAAGGAGTACATCTCGGAGTACATCCCGTGGCTGTACAACAGGAACAGAGTGAAAATGACGATAATAGTGTTGCAATTGGGATGGAAAATGTGCATGGTGGTGGTAGTGGTGGTGCCGGCTGTGAGGCACCAGCAGTGGGCCATGCTGCCACCCACGCTGCTGCCTCAGCTGATCTACAAAAAAGGCCGCCATCCCCCACCCACCCACCCACCACACCAGCCTCCACAACCACAACCACCTGTCAATGTCCAGTACCCACCAGCAGACAGCACCTGGGATTGGCAGGAAGCTGTCAATTTTGTTCCAAATCCCCACCAGTTTGATGAAAGCCAAAGTGGAATACAGCCATGTTGTACACTGGGAAACAATGCCACTGAACTGGAATGTTTCGAGTTATTCTTTGATGAACCCCTGATGGAAATTATTATCAGGGAAAGCAACAGATACTACGAGTACACCATGGCAAACACAATACTTTCACCAAGCTCACGGCTACACAGGTGGAAGGAGACAACTGTGGCTGAGATGTATCTTTTCTTTGCCACAATAATGCTTATGCCACATGTGTATAAGCACAGTGTGAAATCATACTGGTCAACAGACCGCGTGATTGCAACCCCAGGTTTCAGTCATATAATGGGAGTGAATCGATTTGTGCTACTATTACGTATGCTTCACTTCTCAGACAAAACCAGGCCTGACAGAAATGACAGGTTATATAAGATTAGGAATGTGTTTGTGTAACTGAAAGAGAAATTCAATATGTATTTTTATCCCTTCAGGAAGCTTGTAACTGATGAGTCTTTGATTCTGTTCAAAGGAAGACTCTCATTCAAGAAGTACATACCAAGCAAGAGGAAACGCTTTGGTATAAAGTTGTTTGTGCTTTGTGATTGTTACAGTGGTCTGGTATTGGATATTATTGTGTACACTGGAAGTTATACATTGCAAAATACCAGGAAGTTATTGGGCATCTCTGGTGATGTGGTTAGAACAATGATAGAACCATACCTTGGTAAGGGGCATATATTATATACTGATAACTGGTACACAAGCCCCTCAGTGATTTTTTGCGAGTGAACATGACAGATGTGTGTGGCAGTGTGTGCAAATTGTAAACATGTGCCCAGGTTTGACACTGGCACTCGTAGAGGTGAGGTGCAGGCGTTTGCTGCCAATGACATCATGGCATTTCGGTGGCATGACAAACGAGATGTCACACTGCTGTCATCAGTTCACCCTAACGAAATGACAAACACTGGCAGGCAGCATAGAGAGAGCAATGAACCCATTCTAAAACCTGCAGCTGTGATTGATTACACCCTCAACATGCACTCAGTGGACAAATGTGACATGCAGATTGGGTTTGCTGATTGTGTTCGCAAGAGTTATAAGTGGTACATAAAACTCTTTTTCCATCTTCTGGACATTTCCATGCTCAATGCTTATAATATGTATAAGATGAGGACCAGAAACAAACCATCATATGGCGAATTCTGTTTATCTGTCATCGGACAAATAGTATTCAAGTACCAAGGAACAACACCTGTAATAGACCACCCACTAAATTATCAACAACTACCTTCTCGTCTGAAGCATGGTGATCACTTCCTAGTAAAACTGCCTGCTACTGCTTTCAAGAAAAAGGCTCAGAAGAGGTGTTATGTCTGTGCATATACAAAAAAAATGCCCATAACAATGCAGACACGCTCGTTTTATGTGTGAGGAGTGTAAAACACCACTGTGCATGACACCATGTTTCAAAGACTTCCACAGGCTGCAGAACTTCTAGAAACATTCCCTGTGACTGTATATGTGTATATAAAATATAGAAAAATAGTAATAAACAACATTTTTTATCGTTTGTGTGTGAAAACAACAATTGTAAACAATATAAGTACAAAAGTGTTTGTGGAGTTATTGTGTAGTAAATAAAGAGAAAAAACTTATAAAATAGTGATAATATTGGTCTCACAGGCCATAAAAGTTACTTGGAAAAAAAAATTAAAAAATAATAGAAAATAGTACCTAAAAAAAAAAAAAAAAAAAACAATAATACTGGGTGACGGCAGTCAGCGATGTTATCATATATGGAGCATTTTCTGTCAACTTCACGCCTCCATATCTCGGTAAGTATTGATGGTAAAAATTTTTTGTTTAGCCTATAATGTTTAGAAAAAAAAAACTATCTTTTCATAAGAAAAAATAATTTTTTTTGTTTTTTTTTGAAATTTAGGGGACCCTGAGAACAAATCTCTGAGAGGGCCTGTGGACCCTGAAAGAGTTAAGGCATCCTGTTTGGAGAATAAGAGACACTGAGCATGTTGCTTAGTTACCAGTTGTAAGAGACACTTGTCGATAGATACTTGGTAAGGTGTACTTACCTATGTGTAGTTGCAAGGTTCGAGTCTCAGTTCCTGGCCCTGCCTCTTCGCTAGTCGCTACTAGATTTACTTTCTCCTGGATTCGAGAGCTTAGTTGTAACTCTTCTTAAAGTTTATATATGGATCCTACCCTTGCCACTTTATTCTCCATGTGTACTCACCTAATTGTGGTTGCAGGGATTGAGACTCAGCTCTTGGCCCTGCCTCTTCACTTTGTGCTACTAGGTCCTCTCCCTGCTCCATGAGCTTTATCATACCTCATCTTAAAGCTATGTATGGTTCCTACCTCCACTACCTCACTTGCTAGGCTATTCCACTTCCTGACTACTCTATGACTGAAGTAATACTTCCTAACATCCCTTTGACTCATCTGGGTCTTCAACTTCCAATTGTGACCCCTTGTTTCTGTGTCCCCTCTCTGGAACATCCTGTCTCTGTTCACCTTGTCTATTCCACGCAGTATTTTGTATATCGATGATATGTCTCCCCTAACTCTCCTGTCCTCCAGTGTCGTCAGGCCAATTTAACTTAACCTTTCTTCGTAGGACATTCCTTTTAGCTCTGGAACTAACCTTGTCACAAACCTTTGCACTTTCTCTAATTTCTTGGCATGCTTGATCAAGTGTGGGTTTCAAACATGTGCTGCATACTCCAGTATGGGCCTGACGTACACGGTGTACAGTGTCTTGAACGATTCCTTACTAATGTATCGGAACGCTATTCTCAGGTTTGCCAGGCCCCCATATGCTGCAGCAGTTATCTGGTTGTGTGCTTCCAGAGACATGCTCGGTGTTATACTCACCCCAAGATCTTTCTCCTTGAGCAAGGTTTGCAGTCTTTGGCCACCTAGCCTATACTCCGTCTGCGGTCTTCTTTGCCCTTCCCCAATCTGCACGACTTTGCATTTGGCGGGGTTAAATTCAAGAAGCCAGTTGCTGAACCAGGTGTCCAGGTCTCTCTGAAGTCCTGCCTGATCCTCATCTGATTTAAGTCTCCTCATTAACTTCACATCATCTGCGAACAGGGGCACTTCTGAGTCTAACCCTTCCATCATGTGATTCACATATACCAAAAATAGCACTGGTCCAAGGACCAACCCCTGTGGGACCCCGCTTGTCACAGGTGCCTACTGTGATACCTCATCAGTATCATGACTCGTTGTTGCCTCCCTGCCAGGTATTCTCTGATCCAATTCAGTGCTCTTCCTCTTATACGTACCTGATCCTCCAGCTTCTGCACTGTCTGGTGAGGAACTGTGTTGAAGGCCTTCTTGCAGTCCAAGAAGGTGCAATCAACCCACCCCTCTCTCTCGTGTCTTACTTCTGTTACTTTATCATGAACATAACACTACTACTAACCTGTCGTGAGGGACCTGGAGGAGGGTGAGTGGATTGTTAAACTCGTAGCCACGACGTACAATATCAGCTTCCTGAAGCGTCCCTAAGAAATACAACACAAGACAACTATAATTAGAGTTCAGTAGCAAGCCTCTCCATGCAAGAAAATATTATTTTTGTTTCTCAAAATCTATTATACTAATATTCATTACTCTAGGTATAAAGTTAACCAAATGAGGTTAATTGCATGTACGAGTTAAAGATATAATTACAATTACGGAAATGTGCTTTGATTTAATTTGTCTGGATGTGCTTTCTGAATGCAACACTCAAGGCTTTAAATTATTCAACAATGAAAGAAACCAGAGAGGAAGTAATGTAGCGTTGTATGTCAGGAAACATCTAACATAATATAAAGCTTGAAGGAATTGAAACCGAATTTGTATGGTTGCAAATTTCTGCGTGTCGACTCCCGAAACCCTCTCCAGGTATATTCCAGGCTTCCAGTACCTGCCCCTGAGTGTAGAAACCCTTGCCAGGTATACTCCAGGCTTCCAGTACCTGCCCCTGAGTGTAGAAACCCTCTCCAGGTATATTCCAGGCTTCCAGTACCCACCCCTGAGTGCAGAAACCCTTTCCAGGTAAATTCCAGGCTTCCAGTACCCGCCCCTGAGTGTAGAAACCCTCTCCAGGTATATTCCAGGCTTCCAGCACCTGCCCCTGAGTGTAGAAACCCTCTCCAGGTATATTCCAGGCTTCCAATACCCACCCTTGAGTGTAAAAACCCTCTTCAGGAATATTCCAGGCTTCCAGTACCCACCCCCTGAGTGTAGAAACCCTCTACAGGAATGTTCCAGGCTTCCAGTACCTGCCCCTGAGTGTAGAAACCCTCTCCAGGTATATTCCAGGCTTCCAGTACCCACCCCTGAGTGTAGAAACCCTCTCCAGGAATATTCCAGGCTTCCAGTACCCACCCCTGAGTGTAGAAACCCTCTCCAGGAATATTCCAGGCTTCCAGTACCTGCCCCTGAGTGTAGAAACCCTCTCCAGGTATATTCCAGGCTTCCAGCACCTGCCCCTGAGTGTAGAAACCCTCTCCAGGTATATTCCAGGCTTCCAATACCCACCCCTGAGTGTAAAAACCCTCTTCAGGAATATTCCAGGCTTCCAGTACCCACCCCCTGAGTGTAGAAACCCTCTACAGGAATGTTCCAGGCTTCCAGTACCTGCCCCTGAGTGTAGAAACCCTCTCCAGGTATATTCCAGGCTTCCAGTACCCACCCCTGAGTGTAGAAACCCTCTCCAGGAATATTCCAGGCTTCCAGTACCTGCCCCTGAGTGTAGAAACCCTCTCCAGGTATATTCCAGGCTTCCAGTACCCACCCCTGAGTGTAGAAACCCTCTCCAGGTATATTCCAGGCTTCCAGTACCTGCCTGAGTGTAGAAACCCTCTCCAGGTATATTCCAGGCTTCCAGTACCCACCCCTGAGTGTAGAAACCCTCTACAGGTATATTCCAGGCTTCCAGTACCTGCCCCTGAGTGTAGAAATCGACAAAGGAAGACTTGCCTTTGGAACGAGACTATAAAGGTCTCAAAAACATGAAAATTTAGCTTATCTGGAGATTTACAGATGAGTTTGATGAGAATAACCGAATCAATTACATTTAGCACTGAATAAAAGACAGAGTAAAAATACAGTAACAAAGGTACCAGGTTTTTGTTCTGCTGATTATAACAGGTTTAGAGAACACCTGTCATGCATGAACCGGGGCAATCAAGAGAACTACCAATATAATGATCAGAGATAAATAAATAACAAAAAGGCACAATACCGTGACTGGAACGATACACAAATAACCCGCACATAAAAGAGAGAAGCTTACGACGACGTTGTGTGTGTGTGTGTTGTGTAATGATCAGAGAACATATATTCAATATAAATAGGGTTGAACAGATATGATCTGAAATGTATTAACAAGTGACTAAAATATCTTGTAGAGGAGGAGAAGACAGGTATTTATAGGAGCACCAGCATCAATAGAGCCGAAGGTCACCTCAAAAATGGGATAATAAAAGCTAAGAGAGACTATAAAAATTAAAATTTCAAAGGACAAATCGTAAAAATTTTTCCATGTACAATGTATATTGAACAGAGACCAGGAACTGGACTTACCTTTCTATCTTTGGACCGAATTTAAATAACTCCAAACCCAGAGGCAATATATGATCATTAAGGGTTTAGAAATTTCCTCCGATTAAAATATAACAATTGTGAAAGGCATCAATCTTCAATAGCTGATATGTCATATGAAATGGATGAATATTTCTTGAGTTTAGGCTATGTAGGCATAAATATTGTTGGATTTTTTGCAATGACTGGAAAATGCATCTTCTGGTTAGTTTCAAACTTAAAGTATTGATGCGTTTCCCTCAAGGGAAACAATCTGTTGATGTTAGCTTGTGTAAGTTATCATGTGTCGGTGTTATTAATCAAATGAGTTTCTCTGAAATAACTAGAGAATGTTTCTTCTGATGAGAGATAAGTCACAGTGTTTGACTTTATTTGGTTATTCAAAGTTAAATTAACTTTAATGTTATTTTGTGTGTCTATAACATGTGTGCCCTTAACACCATTGTTAGAAAAATGTTACCTGGAGTTTACCTGGAGAGAGTTCCAGGGGTCAACGCCCCCGCGGCCCGGTCTGTGACCAGGCCTCCTGGTGGATCGGAGCCTAATCAACCAGGCTGTTGCTGCTGGCTGCACGCAAACCAACATACGAGCCACAGCCCAGCTGGTCAGGAACCGACTTTAGGTGCTTGTCCAGTGCCAGCTTGAAGACTGCCAGGGGTCTGTTGGTAATCCCCCTTATGTATGCTGGGAAGCAGTTGAACAGTCTTGGGGCCCCTGACACTTATTGTATGGTCTCTTAACGTGCTAGTGACACCCCTGCTTTTCATTGGGGGGATGTTGCATCGTCTGCCAAGTCTTTTGCTTTCGTAGTGAGTGATTTTCGTGTTCAAGTCCGGTACTAGTCCCTCTAGGATTTTCCAGGTGTATATAATCATGTATCTCTCCCGCCTGCGTTCCAGGGAATACAGTTTTAGGAACCTCTAGAGCTCCCAGTAATTGAGGTGTTTTATCTCCGTTATGTGCGCCGTGAAAGTTCTCTGTACATTTTCTAGGTCAGCAATTTCACCTGCCTTGAAAGGTGCTGTTAGTGTGCAGCAATATTCCAGCCTAGATAGAACAAGTGACCTGAAGAGTGTCATCATGGGCTTGGCCTCCCTAGTTTTGAAGGTTCTCATTATCCATCCTGTCATTTTTCTAGCAGATGCGATTGATACAATGCTATGGTCCTTGAAGGTGAGATCCTCCGACATGATCACTCCCAGGTCTTTGACGTTGGTGTTTCGCTCTATTTTGTGGCCAGAATTTGTTTTGTACTCTGATGAAGATTTAATTTCCCCGTGTTTACCATATCTGAGTAATTGAAATTTCTCATTGTTGAACTTCATATTGTTTTCTGCAGCTCACTGAAAGATTTGGTTGATGTCCGCCTGGAGCCTTGCAGTGTCTGCAATGGAAGACACTGTCATGCAGATTTGGGTGTCATCTGCAAAGGAAGACACGGTGCTGTGGCTGACATCCTTGTCTATGTCGGATATGAGGATGAGGAACAAGATGGGAGCGAGTACTGTGCCTTGTGGAACAGAGCTTTTCACCGTAGCTGCCTCGGACTTTACTCTGTTGACGACTACTCTCTGTGTTCTGTTAGTGAGGAAATTATAGATCCATTGACCGACTTTTCCAGTTATTCCTTTAGCACGCATTTTGTGCGCTATTACACCATGGTCACACTTGTCGAAGGCTTTTGCAAAGTCTGTATATATTACATCTGCATTCTTTTTGTCTTCTAGTGCATTTAGGACCTTGTCATAGTATCCAATAGTTGAGACAGACAGGAGCAACCTGTTCTAAACCCATGTTGCCCTGGGTTGTGTAACTGATGGGTTTCTAGATGGGTGGTGATCTTGCTTCTTAGGACCCTTTCAAAGATTTTTTATGATATGGGATGTTAGTGCTATCGGTCTGTAGTTCTTTGCTGTTGCTTTACTGCCCCCTTTGTGGAGTGGGGCTATGTCTGTTGTTTTTAGTAACTGTGGGACAACCCCCGTCTCCATGCTCCCTCTACATAGGATGGAAAAGGCTCGTGATAGGGGCTTCTTGCAGTTCTTGATGAACACGGAGTTCCACGAGTCTGGCCCTGGGGCAGAGTGCATGGGCATGTCATTTATCGCCTGTTCGAAGTCATTTGGCGTCAGGATAACATCGGATAGGCTTGTGTTAACCAAATTTTGTGGCTCTCTCATAAAAAATTCATTTTGATCTTCAACTCTCAGTCTGGTTAGCGGCTTGCTAAAAACTGAGTCATATTGGGACTTGAGTAGCTCACTCATTTCCTTGCTGTCATCTGTGTAGGACCCATCTTGTTTAAGTAGGGGCCCAATACTGGACGTTGTTCTCGACTTTGATTTGGCATAGGAGAAGAAATACTTTGGGTTTCTTTCGATTTCATTTATTGCTTTTAGTTCTTCCTGCGATTCCTGACTCCTATAAGATTCCTTTAGCTTAAGTTCGATGCTTGCTATTTCTCTGACCAGTGTCTCCCTACGCATTTCAGATATATTGACCTCTTTTAGCCGCTCTGTTATTCTTTTCCATCGCCTGTAAAGGGAGCGCCTGTCTCTTTCTATTTTACATGTACTCCTCCTTTTTCTTAGAGGAATAAGCCTTGTGCATACATCAAGTGCCACCAAGTTAATCTGTTCTAGGCATAAGTTGGGGTCTGTGTTGCTTAGTATCTTCCCAGCTTATATCGGTTAGGACTTGGTTTACTTGGTCCCACTTTGTTTTTGTTATTGAAGTTGAATTTGGTGAATGCTCCCTCGTGACTAGTCTCATTATGTCGGTCTGGGGCTCCATGCATACATGTCTGAACCTCAATTATGTTGTGATCTGAGTATATTGTTTTTGATATGGTGACATTTCTTATCAGATCATCATTGTTAGTGAAGATGAGGTCTAGTGTATTATCCAGTCT